GCGATGGGAGCGACAACTTGCAAATTTTTTCACACATTGGAGCTGAAAGTGCAAGTCCGATATTTTTTGTTTGGCATTTTATACTTATTATTTTAGTGATTACCACATGCATGATCAGCTTTTAAAATTTAAAGTTAATTAATATGCAGTCTATTCCTCATTCCTCCTTGCCCCCAAATACCTACTAGAACTTTTGGTCTCCTGCTTAGTCTAGACTGTTCTTAGATCTATTGCACAGTTGCCATCTTACTGTCCGAGATTGGCTTTACTGTTTCTTGGATTTCATGTCTTCCTCTCTTTGTTAAATATTTTTTATTTCACTGGATAACATGTAAGGTCATATGTAGAAGTTAATTTCCTTTTCCTTGCCGGTATAAAAATGTTACACCCTATACTTGCCTGCTGATTTGGCTGAGTGTGGAGTTCATTTTCCTTTAATACTTAAGTGGCCTTGTCTTTTTATTTTTCCCGTAGAATATGGTATCCTGCATGAGAAGTCTTCTGATGATGACTCTCATTCTTTTGTAGTTGAACTGTCTTTCTTTTCAGAGAGTTATCTAGGATATATTTATTTTTGTTATGAAATTTCATCTAGATGTGAGTACTTTTTTGTTATTGTACTAGAAATTCGCAGATCTCTTTGAAGATTTGTTTCTTTTAGCTTTGGAGTATTTTCGTGTATTATTTCATTGTCAGTTCTTTATTTTCTTTTTTTCCTGGAACTGTTAATTGGATGTTGAATTGTCTGGATTAATCATCTGTCTTTTTTTTTTTTGCTTTATCTTTTCTGGAAAACTTTCTTGGATTTGTCTCCACCTCTCCATAAGAAAAAAAAAAAGTTAATGAGACATGTTGGAAGACACAAATTTTTTTTTCTTTTTTTCTTTTTTTAAAGATTTTATTTATTTATTCATGAAAGACAGAGAGGGAAGCAGAGGGAGAGGCAGGCTCCCTGCTCTGGGATCACAACCTGAACTGAAGGCATATCAGCCGACTGAGCCACTCAGGTACCCCTGAAAGATACAAATTTCTAATTTTTTTTTTAATTTTCTGATTTTTTTACTAGCATTCTGATTTTATGAACTTGGTTGTATCTCTTGAGGATACAAATTTTTACATGTTTAAAATTTTTGTTTTGAAATGGCAAGTTGTAGAAATAAGTATAGTACAAAGATATTTTTCGTAACTGATGCCTTTTTCCTGACTATTTTAGTGTGTATTTCCTACAAACCATGATTTTATACTTAATCACAATCCAACCATAGAATTAAAAAATTAACATTTGTTTATAAATGCATGGGCTCATGGTTTCTTAACTTTATTCAATGAGATATATTGTTACCATCATTGTTTATTTTGATGCTCAAATTGCCCTGATTTGGCCAGTAGTAGGAGCCCTTTTGATACCACTTCTTTCTGTCCTTTGGCATTAACCTTATCTTTTTTTAACTTCTTTGCTTTGTGTCACAGTGCTGCATCCCAAGCTTATCTTGTACTTTTTCCTGCCTTAATGGTGGAATTGCCTGTCTTTCCAAGGATTCCTAGTTCTTTTTAGTAGAAAACGGTGTTTTTAAGATCTCAGCATTAGATTTGCTCATTGCCATTGGACTGTTTTCAGGCCCTTTCAGTGGACAAAGCTGGGGTGTGTATTTGTGTTTTATGTGTGTGCATATGTATTCAAACCCATAAGTTCCTGGTGGTACTTCTCATTAAGTATCACAGTATTGAATCTCTGAGTGGAAATCTGCCACCTACTTCCAACACCATTTGGCTTTTGATATTCCTTACAAGCTACCCCTCAGCTTGGGTGTCCTCTCCACTGTGCTTGGGTTCTAATACACCGTGTCAGGTTGCCTCTACGTAGGTGTCCTCATCACCTTGCCTTAGAGTGGTGATATGCTGTACCAGGGAAACCCCCATTTGTGAATGCTCTCCTTATTGTACTGTGGTTCTAATAGCTTGACTTCTCCCTCTACCCCCACCCCAGTTTTGGATACGTGTTTTACTCTTCTTGCTCTCTGACTTCTCACAGCAGACTCTTCCCACTCCCCCCCTCCTTCCCCCCTTTTCCCCACTGTGCTCTTCTACACCTAATGGCTTTAGGACTAAATTGTTGTGAAGGGTTGAAGGGGGGAAGTGGGTGTATGTTTCATCCAGGAGTAATTATTTTATTATGGGTTTTCATGATTAACTATAGTCAGTTCATATTAATGAATAAATAAAAATAATAAGCTTGGGGATACTAGGTAGGTAGGAGTTAGCATTTTATTTTACAGTTATCAGAAGGGGAGCTGCTTATTGCTGTGGGGACCTCTGAGTTCTGGAAATCAGTAGTCATTTCTCTAAGAAACCATCACTCATCCGTAGGAGCTATACTAGTTTCCTCCAACTCTGTGGTGGGGAGGGGGGCGTGGAGGGTGAGGATTAACTTTTTAGTTTTTGGCCTTCAGAGAAAAATGCCTGCCTACTTAACCTTATTGTCTTAGAGCTATTGTGCTTGGTAGTGTTAGCTCTTCCAAGTAGAGATAATTCCCCTATTTTAAGTTTTGCATTTCTCAAAAGGCCTCCTTTTCTGAATTTCTAGCTTTTATAGGATTCTGCAGAGTAATTTGATATCTCAGTTACAGTTTCTTGAAATTCTCTGGGCTTTCTATTCCTGGCTTTATTAATTATAGATTCATTTTCATGAACTTGAAAAATTTCTTTGGTTTTCTTCTCCAATTGGGATGTTTTCAGCTACAAATAGACATCCTATCTAAAATTTACTTAAAAGTTAAGGAAAAACTGGGGCCCCTGGGTGGCACAGTTGGTTAAGTGTCTGACTGTTGGTTTTAGCTCACGTTGTGATCTCACAAGCCCTGAATTGGGCTCTGTGCTCAGCGTGGAGTCAGCTTCACATTCTCTCTCCCTCTCCCTCTGACCCTTGCTTTTTCTAGACTCTCTCTAAAATAAATACATAAATCTAAAAGTTGAGAGAAAACTACTTTTGTAACAAGAAACTAAAGGTAATGTAGCTCAGGGTTAATTTTATCAGTTTGATGAATCTAGGGAACATCTAGGTCATTTTCATCTTCTTTTTCTTCCTAATCTTTTTCTTGTCTTAAGAAGGGATTGAGGGGATCCCTGGGTGGCGCAGCGGTTTGGTGCCTGCCTTTGGCCCAGGGTGCGGTCCTGGAGACCCGGGATCGAGTCCCACGTCGGGCTCCCGGTGCATGGAGCCTGCTTCTCCCTCTGCCTGGAGCCTGCTTCTCCCTCTGCCTATGTCTCTGCCTCTGTGTGTGTGTGTGTGTGTGTGTGTGTGTGTGTGTGACTATCATAAATAAAAAAAAAAATAAAAAAAAAGAAGGGATTGAGGCAATCAATTTCTCTCTCTCTCTCTCTCTCTCTCTCTGTCTCTGTCTCTGTCTCTCTTTTTTGTCTTAAGTAGTTATAGCAGCTTTGGGCATTACATTCTCACTGAGGAACATCCAAAGTCTGCAGGAGGACATTTTTTCCTTGTGTATTGTTTTTAAGGTTGGGTAAAACTTTCCCCAAACCCCTGCTCATATCTTATTGGTTAGAATCCATCTATCACATGTGTATTTGAAAACCAGTCTTTGCATGTATGTGTGCAAGCACATGTGTTTATGTATGTGAAATTACTATAAATAAATTATCTTTAGTAAATAGAGTCTCTTTAGACATTTGCCTCTTTGACCAGCAGCATTAGATATCCAGGGCTTTTTTAGAGTCCACATTTAAGCAAGATGCAACAAGATGACTTGATTGTACATTAGTATTTACAAAATCCTGGCCTGGACTAGTAAGGATTTAACCCTCTGGGACCGAGGGAAGCCTCATTTGTAAAAGTACAAAGACTCAAAAAAAAAAAAAAAAAACAAAATCAAGGTTCAATGAGAAAGGAAGGAGGGTGGGAGTCAGTGTAGGAATGGCTGTTGGTTTGGCAACCAACAATGTCTGCCTATAATCCTTTTCCCTTTTCTTTTTTCTTGTAGCTCTGTGTGTGTGTGTGTGTGTGTGTGTGTGTGTGTTCTTTTTAAAAAATCAGTCTTAGAGGAGGAAGAAAAGATGAATGGAGGTATGGCTAGTCTGCTGTCTTGAGTAGGAAATCTGTTATTGCTTTTCTTGTACTAAACCCTATAAAGTATTAATAGTATGCAGATATGATGTCCTATAATCTAAAATTCTGTACTTAAAGGCAGTAAAATGGATCCTTATTAAAATGTTTACTTCAGAGTGTATTCATTTTCTGTTGTGTAGTAACAATATTGCCATAAACTTAGCAGCTTAAAACAACACACATTTTATTATCTCATAGGTTTTGTGATTCATTAAGTCTGTGTGTGAATAGCTGGGTACTCTGTAAGCCTGCAGTCAAGGTTCTTAACTGGGGCAGGATCTGCTTCCAAGCTTACATGGTTGTTGGCATCATTTAGTTCTCTGTGGGCTGTTGGATTGGTGCCCTCAGTTTTTTGCTGGCTGTCAGCCAGAGACCTTCATCAGTTTCTTGATAAGCCAGCTCATAGCGAAGCAGCGTGCATCTTCAAAGCTAGCAAGTATGAGAGTTTCCTAGCAAGATGGACATTTTAATCTTGTGTAATCATATACAGTCTATCATCTTTGTCATATTCTGTTGTTTGGAAGTCATGTCTGCTGTCAAGGAGAGGTTATTGCACAAGGTCATGAATCTCAAGAGATGGAGATCATAGGGACCACTATAGAGATTGTCTATCATAAACAATAAATACATCTGGCCATAGGAACAACTTATGACATGAATTATATAGTGCATTGAGGCTTCTGCTTAAAATTTATACTGTGCTTTGTATTAAGGCAATCAAGAGGTTTGCAAATGTAGCCAAATATTTAAAATCATCGAAGCCTTGATAATGTCTTTGTAATATTATTATTGTTAAATAGGTTCCTTAGTTTTAAGCTTATTAATATGGTTATTGTATTTTGTGAATTAAGTTTTAGACATTTCTTTTTCTTTTTTTTAGTTGACTATATTGTGGAGTATGACTACGATGCTGTACATGATGATGAATTAACTATTCGGGTTGGTGAAATAATCAGGAATGTGAAAAAACTACAGGAGGAAGGATGGCTAGAAGGAGAGCTAAATGGGAGAAGAGGAATGTTTCCTGATAATTTTGTTAAGGTAAGTACTCTCCTTCACTTAAATTTCTAACTGTTGCTTCATAGGATTTGATCTTTAAGAAATACTTGTATTCTTTTTTTAAAAATTTTATTTTATTATTTTACTCATGAGAGATACACAGAGACAGGCAGAGACACACAGGCAGAGGGAGAAGCAGGCTCCATGCAGGGAGCCTGATGTGGGACTCGGACCTTAGGACTGGGATCACACCCTGAGCTGAAGGCAGACGCTCAACTGCTAAGCCACCCAGGCATCCCAGAAATACTTGTATTTTAAAAACTAAAATGTTGAAGTTAAATTTTTTATTCTACGTTTGCTTGGTGTCCTGATGGATAATAGCATGGTGTATATGTGTGTACCTGTGTGTTTATATGTGTACGTATGTATCTACCTGTCTATCTTTTTAAAAAAATAAATAATAGTTTGCATTTGGGTAGCACTCTTTAATTTACAAAAATTTCAAGGTTATGAAAACCAAGGAAAGACTGGGAAACTGTTGTTGACTAGAGGAGCCTAAGGAGAGACATGATGACCAAATGCATCATGGTATCCTGGATTCGATTCTGGAACAAAAAGATAGATATATTAGTGTAAAAACCGATGAAATCTTTATAAAGTCAGTAGTTTTAGTTAGCAGTAATATAGTAGTGTTAATATCTTAGTTTTGAAGTGTAATATGGTTATGAAAAATAGAACATTAGAGGAAACAGTGATGGGGATATGAGAATGCTGTGTAACACCTTTGTAACTCTTTTTTTCTTCCACCTTTTAACTCTTCTGTAAACCTAAAATTACTCGAGTAAAATTTTTTCTTTTTAAAGTTTTATTTATTTATTTATTCATGAGAGACACACAGGGAGAGGCAGAGACACAGGCAGAGGGAGAAGCAGGCTTCACGCAGGGAGCCTGACATGGGACTTGATCCCGGGTCTCCAGGATCACACCCCCGGCTGAAGGCGGCACCGAACCGCTGGGCCATTGGTGCTGCCCTCTAGAGTAGAATTTTTATTGAGAAAATTAACCACAGATAATCAGTAGCAATAGATAATAAGTTGGCTTTATCACTTCAGGTGTGTATGTGAAAATTAAGGGAAGGTTCGAATTTATAATTCACTGTTTCCTTGAAAATAAGCCTTTTATGCTTAATATACTGTTACATTAAGGTATATGTGTTAATTTGTAAATGTTAGACTGTGGAGCAGATGGTAGAACTAACTAGACTTTCTCTAAAAAACTCACATCTTTGTTATTTCAGATAGCTGTAGTGAAGAGCATTAATACTTCAGTTGGGCTGGAAGATGGATAGAAAGGTCAAATAATTTTTGCAGCCTATTGAAAAAAAAAACCCTTTATGGACACTAAATTTGTTTTGTGACAAACTGTTCATTACATTGTCCCTTTGCATTGTTATTTCTTCGTTACATGATTTGAAAAATAGTTTAAAAGAATATAGAACAAGGATCCATGAATTTATATGTAGAATGTTATCATTTGGGCATTTTTGCTTTAGAGTGTTAACTTTTCATAGTAGAACATTACAGATAAATTGAGTTTGTTACCTCCTTATCATTTCTCTCTTCTCCCAACTTCCATATTCTGAAATTATATGTATCCTTCTATAATACATAATTTTATAGATATTTACTTGTGCATAAACATAGTTTTTGTGTGATTTAGACGTTGGCATAATTACTGTGTTAGGTTGTAACTTTTAAAAACTTAATGTGGTTTCAATGTGATATATAACATAGTCACTTTTGTTACAACATATTTTTATGTGTAGTTAGCTCATAAATGATTGGAAAATAAGGGCATGTGGGAGGTTCAGTTGGTTGAGTGACTGAGTCTTGGTTTCAGCTCAGGACATGATCTCATGGGTTGTAGGATGGAGTCCCAGGTGGGACTCTGTGCTCATTAGGGAGTCTGCTTGAAGATTTTTACCTCTGCTCCTCCCCCACATGCACACATGGTTGTGGGCATACTCTCCCTCTCAAAAAATGAATAAATCTTTTAAAAAAGTGGTAAATAGAGGGATGATGTCAGGATAGTGGGAAAGTTGTGTTAGTTTGTTTTCTAGATAAAGGGAGCTGGGATAAAGAATATAGAATTATAATTGTGGTAAGAATGGGATAGACTCTCGGCTGCTTGTGTAAACAGGAGTTCTTTTAGCTTTTAAGTGGAACTTTTTTTTTTTTTCTTAAGATCTTATTTATTATAGAGAGAGAGAGAGAAAGGAGGAGCAAGGACAAGCAGACTCCAGACTGAGCATGGAGCCTGCCGTGGGGCTTGATCTCAGGACCCTGAGCCAAAACCAAGAGACAGATGCCTAACCAACTGAGCCATCCAGGCACCCTTAAGTGAAACCTTTTTTTTTTTTTTTTTTTTTTTGGTTAAGGTGACCATCTGTATCTAGTATTTTCCTCAAAGTTGAGCACTATCTTAGCATCCATAAACCAGCCTTTCTACCTTACTTATTGATTTATTTACATTTTTAATAGCTATGGAGGAATCTGTCATCTGCTTGGTAGTCTTATTACCCATTTATTACCTATTCTCTAAGGTTTCAGTTATTGTTACTTACTTTTATTTTCATTTTTAGTACTCAGGTTCCAAAGTTGCGTGCCCTTAGGTCTAAATTGGTATGCCCCAAATCCTACTTTTTTTTGCATAATCACTGGTATTTTGTGTTTGATTTGGTTTTCACATAATCAGTAGTATTTTAGTGTGTGTAATTTTTCTTCCCCCAGAAGGTCAGGTGTTTAGGGATGTACATGTAGTTTTATAGTAGAGATTCCTTTTTAACAGTCTTATAGTATTCCATTGTGAGTCTTTACCACATTTTATGGGGTAAAATAGAACTATTTTCCATTTTTTAGGTATTGAAAACAATGCTGCAATGAATATCCTTTTGTAGGTTATATATATGTAGCGAGAGTTTTCTATATCCTAGGGTATGCACATATTCAGCTGTAGTAGACATCATCTAATTTCTCACTAGATAGTTATACCAATTTAAATTCCTACCAGTAGATAAAAGTATCTTTTTTCCGTGTTCTTATAAACATTTGATACCATCAGACTTTCTTTTCTTCTTTCTTTCTTTCTTATCTAATAGATCTACGGTAATATCCACACATTTCAGTGTTTCGTTTTTGTGATATAGGGAAGTTAGGCATCTTTTCACATTTATTGGCCATTTAAATTTCTTTTCCTGTGTCTAGCTTTTTCAGATCTTTCTCTCCACTTTTCCATTGAGTTCTTGCTCACTCTCATTGTAGTACTTCTTATTGTGATATTGTGAACTTTATATTCCTTTGTCTTCTGCTTATGTGTCTTTTCTTGTCCTTCAGTGCTTTTTCTGGCTTGTCTAAGTATAACTTCAGAGCAGGGAGGACTTAAAGATACTCTTCTATGTTTTTATTCATTTTAAACTTTTGAGTTTTCAGCGTAAGTCTTCCATCCTTTATTTTTTGTACAGCTATATTTAGGCAGTAATTACATTTTTTTCCATGTAAAAAAATATTGAATAGTCTACTCTTTCCTCATGGGTCTGTAATGTGTAAGAATTGAGCCAAAGTTGGGAAGAAACTTGCTAGTTTATCAGATCTTTCCACATTCTCAACTTCAGTGATTTGGACTACAGTAGAGAGAATCAAGTGTCTGATTTATTTGTTAGAGTAAACTTTGAGATTCAGCATCAGTGTTGTGACTTGATACTTGGCACTTTTTGGGTCTTTGTAATTGAGATGAAACAAACATTCCTTTATTAAACAGTTGCTTAATAATTGACTATGAAGTATTTTGGGGTGTGGTGAGAGAGTTTCCCACCGCTTATTTTTTGGGGGGAGATAGCAGCATGAAAACAGAAGGATAACTTGCAATGCTTTATTGGCTGGATGTCAAATGTGTGGTAAAGACGATGGGTGCTGAAGGGACTTGGAAAAAATAATTTTTCAGAAAAGATGTTGAAAGTAACAGTTGAGTTAGTCTTTTTTTTTTTTTTAAGTTTGTCTTTAAAGATACGAAGTTAGATGAATAATTGGTATACTGTATGTCTGGCAAAGGTACAAAATGTTTTGTGGTAAAAATAATGGACTGCTTTGATTGAACAGAAGTTTTTCTATAATGGTGTGTATAATGGGGCTTAAGGACGAAAGTATAGATTAAAGCCAGTGGACTAAGCATTTTGAGTATCATTTAAAGGTATTAAGACTATTTAAAAGATATTAAGTAAGTAGCAGGGCTTTTAGAGACAGAGGGAAGATAGAATGCTTTAATGGATTAATCTTAGTGAGAAGGAAAGGTTTTATTAAAGAGGAGACAGTTGAGGCTATAAAGTATAATGAGATAAGAATGGTGGAAGTAAAGGGATAGTTATTTATTTATTATTCTTTTTAGGAATAGTTAATAGACATAATACCTTTTATTTGTTAAAACTTTGCTAATTCCCATATATTGTCTCACTTTATTCTGACATTTTTGAAAGTTAGACGGGATATGTTATGCCCAAAATCATTCTGGTAATAGTTGGTAGACCACAGACTTGGTAGTTGATAACTAGCTCTGTGATAGGCAAATGTCAGCCAATTTTTAGGTGAGAAATGTATTTTATATATTATGTGCTGGTTATTAGAGAAATGTGATCATTTTGTAACATCCTCTGCTTTTAAGAATCTAGAGACAAAATGATAGGAGTCTTAGCCATTGAAATTCTCCAGTAGCATCATCATAGTTGAAAGATGTTAGAATTCCAAAATTAAATTCTTTTGATAACCTTTTAGAATTAACCCTTGAAGAAGAAAATTCAAACTGCTTCCTCAAGATGCAATTTTATGGAAACAAGCTTTTTTCCAAAACTAAACTTGAGATTTGACGTGAGGACATTTCAAAGACTAAAGATGGAATGGAAACATGCAGAAAACATACAAATAAAGGGGTGCCTGGATGGCTCAGTGGTTGAGTGTCTGCCTTTGACTCGGGATCTGGGATCGAGTTCGCAT